AATTTTCAGAACACTATGGGGTTTGGGTTTTTTGTTTCATTCTGTTTTGCTGAAGTATGTCTGGAGTTTTAAGGCATATGTTAGTTTAGGGAAAGGTTTCCGAATTGAAATGTGAAAATAAGCAAGACAAAGATAGCTCTTTTGAATTATTGGCTCTTATTATGTTAATTAAAACAAAACTCTATAGAGCATCTAAGTGCCTCTCAAGCTACATAAAAAATACCCAGTTGATGCATGGGAATTATAAAGATAATTTACACAGTGGGTGAAGAAAACAACCTATACTGAAAGGCAATTAAACAAGAGCGATATCACCGTATTACATTTAAAATAGGAAATATATGTGCAGAAAACCAAGTAATCATCATTACTCTTATACTTGTCTTCTGGAATGGATTCTCTTACAAATTCTGATATTGCTTCCTTTCCTCTCCTTTCTACCTTAAAAAAAGTGGTTCTCACTCTTTAACATGCATGTAATCAGCCCAGAATCTTGTTAAAATGCAGATTCTGACTCACAAGTTCTGGACTGAGGCCTAAGAACTTCTAAGCCTAGCTCCAAGGAGTTTCTTGTATTACTGGTCCTGGGTCAGAGCCTGAGTGGCAAGGCCTTTAACTCCTGGCAGTCAGGAATTGACATGCTAAAAGATAAGAAGAACCAGGGTTTCCCTTTCTTTTTGTTTTATTTGTTCCACTAACCAAAACCCACAATGAAATTCTTAGCTTACTTAATTCTAAGCTTAGCTCGGTTTTCTTCTCTTTGCCCCAACTTTCTCCTCACTGGTGTCTTCTCTATTCCCACAAAAGTAGGCGTTCTTAAATATAGACACCTATTATGATCTAAGATGCTACAGGTAACTGTTAGCCATGTAATCCCTAGGCTGTGGGTCGTCAAGGAGTGGTTTCCTACTATCCTTGATGAGGGTGTTTTCTAGAAATGGGGTCATGATAAAGAGATACTTTGTGTGACTTTACTAAGGATCCAAGGAGTAAAGTGTGCAAAAACCTAAAACAGTGAATAATTCAGCAATCATTTCTATTGGCTTTAGAATGCATTATAATACAATTTGCAAAAGCTTTATTTTCTACTTACATTTTACTTAAGGTAATATTAAAATAGATTAATATGATCTGACCACAAAAGAACTAAGAGTGCTGATTAAGAGGGAACAGAGGTAGAGCAATCTACCTGAAAGCATGAGGAAGTATACATAGGGGGAGGTCTAAGAGAAAATTTTTTCTATGGATGATACATCTATGGAAAGTCAAAAAGTTAATTTGTCAAGTCCTATGCAACTTACTGCAATTCAAATACAATTTGCAAGGAAAGATTTTCCTTGACTTACACTTATGATGAGGTTATATCCTAATAAACCCACATTAAGCTGAAAATACCAATAAGCCAAAAATGCATTTAATATATCCAACTTACTGAACATCATAGCTTAGCCTAGCCTCCCTTAAACGTGCTCAGAACAACTACATTAGCCTATAGTTGGGCAAAATCATGTCACACAAAGCCAACTTTATAATAAAGTGTTGAATATTTCACGTACTTTATTGAATACTGTACTGAAAGTAAAACAAAAAACAAAAACAAAAAACAAACAAACAAAAAAAACCCAGATTGGTTGTATGGGTACAGAATGGTTGTCAGTGTATGGGTTGTGTACCCTTATGGTCCTGTGGCTGACTGGTAGGTGCGGCTCCCTGCTGCTTCCCAGCATCAAAACAGAGTAGCCTATGCATATGACTAGTCTGGAAAAGAAAGTTCACAGTTGAAGAATGGTTTGAGTTGAATGCATATCACTTTCACACTATCATAAAGCTGAAAAACTTTAAGTCCAAACTTTAAGTCCAAACACTGTAAGTTAGGGACAGTCTGTATTGTATTAGTTCACCCCTTCCAATGAGTTAAAGTACTGCTAAAGATAGTTTTTTTTTTTTTAGTATTAACAACTACCATTTATGAGCATATTTTATGCATCAGTCCCTAAACTAAGAGCTTTCTATGCAGTGGCTTATTCAAGTCCCGCTCCATCCTTATGAGGTAAAGTGCCATTAAGGACCTTCGTTTTGTTTTTGTTTTTTTTTTAATTTTATTTATTTATTTGACAGACAGAGATCACAAGTAGGCAGAGAGACAGGCAGAGAGAGGGGGGAAGCAGGCTTCTTGCTGAGCAGAGAGCCCGATGTGGGGCTCGATCCCAGGACCCTGGGATCACGACCCGAGCCAAAGGCAGAGGCTTTAACCCACTGAGTCACCCAGGTGCCCCAGGACCTTTGGTTTTATTTTAATATATTTTTAAGATTTTATTGGTTCATGTGTGAGAGACAGAGAAAGTATAAGCAGGGGGAGAGGCAGAAGGAGCCACCCAGACACCCTATTAAAGACCTTTATAATTGAAAAAAAACAAAACAACAACAACAAAACCCAAACCTGTTGAAAAAAATTGAACCTAACAAAGATTTCTGTGGAAAGCTTTGTTGCATGGTTCATTTAAATACACTTAAAATGTCAGCTACAAAATGGAAACTGCAGGGTTATTCACTCATGGAAAGAATATCCAATGACTGAACTCCTTCAAGTAGTCAGTCCATTCCTTAAGGACTACTACACATAATTTTCCAGGTAAACACTTATACAAAGTAAGGCAAGTCTATGATAAAACTTAATTTGCCATTTGTTTTGACTCCTCAGGAAATGAACATACTCATGTGTTTCCAAATTGGCCTGATAAAGAGTAACCTGGAATCTTGTTAACTATAGAATTCCCATTCCCCTCTGCTTGGCAATTCTGAATCAGTAGCCCTTAAGTAAGGTCTAAGAATTTTTATATTTAATATATTATCCACGTTTCTTATGATCAGGCAAGTTTGGGGAAACATTTGTCTGCCGAGTAAAGCTCAAGTTTCTTAGCATATAAAGTCTTCCACAGTCTGACCTTAAGGTGCACATCTCCTACAGGGGCACCTGGATGGCTTAGCTGAACAAGCTCCTCTGCTTTCAGCTCAGGTCCTAACCTTAGTGTCCTGGATCAAGCCTCAGTTGGCTAAGTGTCTGCTTTCAGCTCACATCCTGATCTCAGAGTCCTGGATCAAGGCCTATGTCAGGCTCCCTGCTCAGTGGGGAATCTGCTTCTCCCTCTCCTTTTGCCCCTCCCTGATCCCCCCACCCCCGCGCCCCCGCTTGTACTCTCTCTTTCAAATAAATGAAATCTTAAAAACAACAACAACAAAAAAACACAAAAATCTCCTACAACATTAACATATGTTTAAAATTATCTATTCCTGGGGTGCCTGGGTGGCTCAGTGGGTTAAAGCCTCTGCCTTCGGCTCAGGTCGTGATCCCGGGGTTCTGGGATCGAACCCCGAATTGGGCTCTCTGCTTAGCAGAGAGCTTACTCCCTCTTCTCTCTCTGCCTGCTTCTCTGTCTGCTTGTGATCTCTGTCAAATAAATAAATAAAATCTTTTAAAAAAATTATCTAATCATTATTCCCCAAATAGATACTTCCCTTCATTGGAGCTTTGCTCAAGCTCTTCCCTCTGTTAGAATGTCCTTCTCTCATATACATGTTCATTAAACTTGTATTCATCTTTCAAGACTTAGCTTAAATTTTAACTTCTTTATAAAGGTTTCCCTGACTCTATGGTCAGGATTATGTTCACTGTCCTATGAACTCCAAGAGCTCTTTTAAACCTCTATTGCAGTGATTCTCAAGGTGTGATCCCCGACCATCAATATCAGTATTACTTGGGCACTTGTTAGAAATGCACCTTCACAGGCCCAACCCCAGACCTACAGAATCAGAAACCTTGAGTTTGGTGCCCAACAATCTGTTTTCAAACAAGCCCTCTAGATGACTGCAATACATCCTGAAGTTTGAGAACCACTTCTCTAATGTGTTCTATATTTTATTATTGCACTATTATATGTCTTATTTTCTCTACCAGAATGTAAAGTAGGCTCCATGAGAGCAAAAACAGTGTTTTATCATTTGCCTCCTTTGCAGTACCAAGCACAGTGCTTTTTGCTTAGCAGATCATAATAAGTCTTGCTGAATTAAATTGCTATTTCTTTAGTGTCAAAGTCTATGTATGCAAGATGAGCAGATTGTAGTGCGCCAATTTTTCATTTTAATGGTGTTTAATAACCTTTAAAGGTTGTAGCATGATTGATTCAGATGCAGAAACATGCCAATTGTAAAGATAACTAAAATAAAAGAACCAGTTGCCCTTCTTTTTCAACACATAATAAAGCTTCTTAGTTTTGTTTTAAGCTTTTTCTCCATGCTTAATACATATGATGCTTCACAAATGTTTACCAATGACAACAATGACAACCTCGTCTGGAAGTTTCTCTTCTCTCTTGTCTCTAAGGCTCTTATTCCTAAAGAATAATTCCTAAAATTCCTAAAATTTCTTAAGTGGGCTTCAACTTCCCCTGTATCTATAAATAAATTAAATAATAAACATTGCTTAGACCGCTTCTATACTACTTACCAATAAATATAAATAAATTTGAGAACAAATTCATGGGAGAATAACATGAAATAGTGTTTGCCACAGTAAAAGTCAATGTAACAAGGTTTTAGAATTCACCACACTGGAAAACAAGCCAAAGGAAAACAACAATCTATATTGATTAATGTTTCATTTATTATTATTTAAAGTTATATAAAACAACAGGTTCAGACAGCCACTGGATTCTTAAAAATCTTTAGTAAAACAAAACAATATTGGTGAATAATCCATATAATAAATTGATCCACTGACCTAGCATTATTTTGTTTTCATAGAATTTCTTAATATAAAAATGTACTTTTATTGGTTCCTGTCAAAATCCAATCAAGATACATTTAAGTGCAATTTAATTTTTAGCTTACTGAAACAAATCCACTATAAAAGTGTTTTTCATGAAGCTCCAATAGGAAAATAAATCAATCCAAAAATTTGGTGCAAATAAGTCAACAAAACTGGTCAAATTCAAGAAAAAAACATTTGAACAATTATGAACTACTTTAAAAAAATAAAATGCATGCTTTGTAATTGGGTGTCTATATACCTTATCTTATTAGTAGGAGATGAATTTTTTGGTTTCTTTTAGAAAATACCATCAAATATTCCCAGAAAGGACTTCATTTCATCAGCTTCATCATCGGGATGATACCTACTGGAGGGGGAAAAGCAAGTACAGAAATCTATCTAGATTGCTGAGAGGTTAATGTATCAAATGAACTTCAATATGTATTACCTAGTAAGAAGTCCATGGGGGAAAATCAGACTTCATAAACTGTGAGAAGTAGGGATCAAGTCTCTTAGGTATTTCCTTAAGGTTTTTAAAAAGGAATGTCATTTAATCAGTGTGTGAACAAGTCTATAAACTTTGACTATTCAAGGGGAAAGACAGAAAATGCTACAGTTAATCCTAGAAGTGACCAGCTGATGGGGAACTGAGTAGACTTAATCTGACTTTTCATTGAACCTGCAGAATTGTATAAGAACTGGTTGCTAAAATACAACTTGAACATCTGAAAAATTAGCCAATCTCATTTGGATTTAAGTGATTTTACACTTTATATTATCAACATCTTATATTCAAATCAGTGAAACAAAGTTTAGTAATACAGTATGTTTTAATTAAAGATATTAAACATATGTTCTCAAAAATTGAGATAGTTAAAATTATGAATTATTTTAAGGAGTTTAGGTCACCAGGGGTCCAAATATTCAATGTTTTTAAGTAAATAAAATGTTTAGATTTTGGGGACGCCTGGGTGGCTCAGTGGGTTAAGCCGCTGCCTTCGGCTCAGGTCATGATCCTAGGGTCCTGGGATCGAGTCCCGTATCGGGCTCCTTGCTCAGCAGGGAGCCTGCCTCTCTCTCTGCCTCTGCCTGCCTCCCTGCCTGCTTGTGTGCTTTCTCTCTCTCTCTTTCTGACAAATAAATAAATAAAATCTTAAAAAAAAAAAAAAAAAAAAAAAAGTTTAGATTTTGATCTTTAAAATAAACCAAGGAAAGGGGCACCAGGGTAGTTCACTCTTGATTTCAACTCAGATCATGATCTCAGGGTCATGAGATGGAGCTCCAAATAAACTCCAAGCGAGGCATGGGGCCTGCTTGAGATTCTCTCTTCCTCTACCTCTGCCCCTCCCATCCACTCTCTCTCATTCTCTATCCCTATTAATAAAATAAAATAAAATAAAATAAAATAAAATAAAATAAAATAAAATAAAATAAAACAAAATAAACCAAGGAAAAAAGAATACTGAATTTCTTCATAGAAAGTTTTCATTGGCATAGTCTTGAAATGTCTTTAAAGAATTCTTACCTGATATCAACTTCCTCTTTACATTCACTGTTTCTAATAAAGAAATCCACTTTCTTAACAAAATGTGAAGAATTTGGTATTTTTTCAGAGTGAGTAAAGCACAGCTTTTCAATTTCTGGTGACAGGCTTTGTTGTTCTCTTTCTTGTAAATGGACCTATATTTTGAGGTTAACAGAAAAAAAAGGCAATCTTTGAAAGTTTAACTATTCAGACAGAATTTAAAAGAAAAACAATGAAGTGCTTCTTACAGTATTTGCATTTCCAGCTTGTTGAGGTGATTTTTTCATGGAGGATGCATCAAACTTGAACACAGGAGAATTTGATAAATAAACATCTGGCTTCTCAGGCAATGAAACAAAACTAAAAATAAAAATTAATCATTTGTAAAATATGGCAAAGAGGAGAAAAAAACCATTTTAATTTAGATGAATAGTGATTCTTTGGGGAATATGATTAAATTTTACCATATTTATTACTAAAAATTATGCTGTTTTTTAGACTCATGGAAAATTTGGTGTAGCTCCTTTCCTTTAGACAAAACACCAATTACTATATTCCAAATTAGATAAGAATACTATTTTTAAAAGCCTCCAGAAGTAATCATTCAGTAATTTTCTTTAAAATTTAGTCTTATGCTTAATTTTCTATTACCTAGCAGTCTGTAAATCTTTTCTAAATCCCACTTTGCTTAACTTTTAATCTCCTCTCCCTTCCAATCTCACTGTAGAGAGATAACTTCACTTATCTTCTTATGTAAAACTACACTAAAATTCACCTTCAATCTTCTGTATAAATTCATTCATTAAAAAACATTTATTATTCACTACCATATGCCAGATATTGTACTAAGAGCTAGGTATAAAGAGGTAAACAAATCCTCAGGGAGTTATCATCTATTAGAGGAGCAGACAACGAGTAAATAATAAATATACATAATTATAGATCCTGAAGTGATATGAAGGAAATTGAGTAACATTACAGGAAATAGTGTGGAGACACAAACACACTTCAAAAGGTGGTTATGAATGCATGTCTCTCTGAGGAGGTGACAATTTAAGTTGACACTTATAGGCTAAAATAGGAGTAAAAAGCAGTGGGTGCAGGTAGTAGAGTAGAGAAGTACACATATTGAGAGGATTGAATCTTTTTGTCTTTGATTAAAGACAAGAAATCAAAATAGTAAAAAGGGGTATAAAATGAAAAGCATGACTCCTTTCCACTCCAAATCCTCAGGTCCTACAGGCCTTCTTTTCAGTATCAACTTCTGGCACAATTTTTCTTTAGAGGCTTCTTGATAAGGATTCCTTTTTAAATCCACTTATCTTCCGTTCATTACTTTTAAACTCTCCATAAATTATTTATAGTTTCTAAAGATATGGCCCACAAAACTGTCTATGTGCTTTGTTATTTTCCTACTTGTATCTTTTTCCTTCCTACTTAAATTTTTTGCTTCTTTACACCCACAGCTTTGTTCTCCTTTGATGCTTCTAATCTGTTTATTCTGTATGACTCAAAGTTAGAACCAATGAATGGAAATAGTAAGAAGACAAAATTTAGGCAAATAGTCTTAAAAGCTATTGAATGGTCTGAGAGACCCAAATATGGAACAAGCATGTTGGAGTGAATGAGCTCCTGGTTACTAGAGCTGTCTTGGTAGAGATGGCCTGAATACCGGCCAGTGATGTTGGATGGTGATTCACGCATCTGGTGATGGGAACACTAAATGATGCTTATTATTAAACACCTTGCAGCTCTGGAATTCTCTGAAATCTGTGATTCTGTCATGCCAATAATCAGTAAAATGACTAAATAATAACAAAAATACCAAAAGACACCACAAATTTCTCATATTTTAAACTAGGAGAAATAAATAACCAGGGGAGTAGTGATTGGCAAAATAGATAAAGGGGATTAAGATGTACAAACTTCCACTTGTAAAATAAATAAGTCACAGAGATGAAAATTACAGCACAGGGATATAGTCAATAATATTGTAATGACATTTTGTGGTGACAGATGGTGACTAACTACACTTATTGTTGTGAGCCTTGAGTAGTGTATAAAATTGCTGAATCAGTAAGTTGTATACCTGAAGTTAATATAACATTGCATGTCAGTCATGCTTCAATAATAAAAAGTAAAATAAAAATAAATAAAAGAATCAACCACTACTCAGCTCTAAGCAGTTGTTGCTGTGTAAGAAATAAATGTCTAGTGTTGTCAAATATTCTGATTAAAAAAAAAAAAACCTAGAAATCTAAAATCTGATGTGACATCTCCTGACTTCTAAATTTTAAGAACTAATTTTTAAAAATGTAATACAGTTGGGTGCCCTGTTAAGCGTCTGCCTTCAGCTCAGGTCATGATTCCAGAGTCCCAGGATGGAGTCCCACATCGGGTTCCCTGCTCAACAGGGAGTCTGCTTTTCCCTCTGCCTCTGCCCCTCCCCCAGTGGTATGCTTGCTCTCTCACTCTCTCTCCTGCAAAAATAAATAAATAAAATCTTTAAGATAAGTAAATAAAATAAAATAAAATGTGATACAGTCTATAGCCCCTCTCCAGCTGTAACCTAGTTTTTGATGTCCATATAAGCAGTAGGAAGCTTTCCAAGATACTTAAGCACAGGATAAACAATTTGATAAGACAAAAATTATTCTAGTGATTTGTAGATTATATATAGTGATATGATATATATAGAATGAGTTACAGAAGGTGGGACTACAAGAGACATTGTGGCCAGTACAAGAAGCAGCCTATGGGGAGGCTAAACTAGAGCAGAGGTAATAGAAACTGAGAGGTAGAGTTGGATTTTTGAAATAATTCATGGCACATACTAGATTTAGCAATAATTAGGATACAATAGTCGAGGAAGAGGGAAAAATAAGTGGCAAGTGGGTAGATGAAGATGTTATCTGAAAATATAGGACATATAGACATTTGAAAAAGAAAATAGTAATTTAAAAAATGTTCAACTTGAGGCACCTGTTTAAAACAGCTCAGTGGGTAGAACATGTGACTCTTGATCTAAACCACCACTCCTCTGGTAACCATCAGTTTGCTCTCTGTATTTAAGAGTCTGTTTTTGTGTTTTTTGCTCATTTGCTTTGTTTTATTAGATTTCAGATCTAAGTGAAATCACATGTCTGGCTTATTTTACTTAGCATAATATCCTCTAGATCCACCTATGTCATTCCAAATGGCAAGATTTCATTCTCTTTTATGGCTGAGTAGTATTACATATACAAATAGCTCACAACTTTAGTCATTCATCTATTTCTATCCACAACTTGGAGTGCTTCTATATCTTGGCTATTGTAAATAATGCTGCAAAAATACAGGGGTGCATATATCTTCTCAAATTAGTGTTTTTGTTTTCTTTGGGTAAATACACAGTAGTGGAATTACTAGATTGCAGGGTAGTTCTACTTCTAATTTTTTGAGGGAACTCCATACTGTTTTCCACAGTGGTTGCACCAATTTACATTCCCTGCCTCACAGTGTACGAGTGTTCCCTTTTCACTACATCCTCCACTAACACTTACCATTTCTTGTCTTTTTGATACTAGCCTTTCTGGCTTGCATGAAGTAATATCTCATGGTTTCAATTTGCATTTCCCTGATAATTAGTGATGTGGAGCATCTTTTCATGTGTTTGTGGGCCATATGTATGTCTTCTTTGGAAAAATGTTTATTTAGGTCCTCTTTCCATTTTTTAATCAAATTGGTTTTTTGGTGTGTATTGTATAAATTCTTCATTTATTTTGGAAGTTTATCCCTTATTGGATATATTATTTGCAAATAGCTTCTCCCATTCAGTAGATTGTCTTTTTGTTTTGTTCATGGTATCCTTTGCTGTGCAAAAGCTTTTTATTTTGGTCTAGTTCCAAATAGTTTATTTTTGTTTTTGTTTCCCTTGCCTTAGGAGACATAGCCATAAACATGTTGCTAGAATCAATGTCAAAGAAATTACCACCTATATTTTCTTTTAGGAGTTTTATGGTTTCAAGTCTTATACTTAGGTCTTTAATCCATTTTGAGTTTATTTTTGTGTATGGTGTAAAAAAGTGGTCCAGTGTCTATTTTTGTGTCAGTACCATACTATTTTGATTACTGTAGCTTTGTAGTAATCTCGAAATTTGAAATTGAAAATTGGTATCTCCACAGTTGTGCCTTTTTATATGGGACACTCTTCAGTTGCCTTTGGCCCACCAAATCCTGAAGGCAGTATGAGTTTTTAACCACCTTCTATAGGATACAGTTAAGTTGTCTAAATACAGCATTCAAGGCTTTTTAGAATCAGACCTCAGCACTCAGCCTTAATGCTGTGGCTCTACTGATGCTTTACTGACCCTTGAGCATAAGATACCTTCTCAAGCCTTATACCTTTACACATGCTTCTTCTACCAGGAATGCCTTATCCTCTTCTTTTCTACCTGTCAAACTACTATTCAGTTTTCAAGTCCTTTGAAAAGTAAAAATTCCTGGGCTCCAGCCCCAGAGAGCATGATTTGGTAAGTCTATTGTAGGGCCCAGGAATGTGCATTTTTAATATATTTTAATACTTTTGAAGTAAGTGGTTTGTCAATAGCACTTTGAGAAACATAGTTCTAAAAATAAGAGGTTTCAGGCTGGCTAATACCTTATAGCTTCTTTGACATCTAATAATTCAATCCCCATCTCCAATTATGTGTCAGAAGGATATACAGTTTTAAGTATTCCAAACCAAAATTCTAAAACTTGCCTTTTTGCCATTTCTCCTTGGAATTTGCTCTTTGACTCCTGGAGGAATAGCTTATTTCCTTTGATACTTGAACTCAAAGTGTTTCCAAATCCTATGTAAAGAGATAACATTTTGAAATTAAATGGCAAGAAATAGATGAAAGGATCTTGTCAGAAGTTATACAAGGGCTCTCTCCAATAGATATGATTCTGATTATAGAAGAAATGAATAATCCTCTCAATTATCAGATTTAATTTACATAGAGAAATAACGGAGCAAAGCTAAGGGAGTGAAACTATAAACAAATAGGTTAGCTTATCAGTTACTATACTAAAAGGTCCCCAAACCACTTTTACTTACTTACTTATTTTAACTCATGTAAATGATCAAGTTGAATTTCATTCAATTATTTTCAATGGTCTGCATACAATTAAGTTCATTTAAAGTGCTCTATACACGGCATTTATGGAGACTGATTTTCCAGCATCAAAGTTATGCCCTCACATGATTAGGCTACCTCAAAGAATCACTACAAACTGCCTCTTAAATTGCAATACACAATGACTTTTAACTTTGAGCTAGTGACTAGTAGCTGTCCACTGATACAGGAAATTGTGCCTACAGGCTCCACATCATAGATTTTCCTGGCCTATTTTGTGAAAGTGGTCAAATCCTATTCCTTCTGGAAGGAATAATAGTTCTCTAGATATTTCTTTAGAATCCTGAAACAATAATATTTCAACTTCTAATAGCTTCCCTTAAAAAGATTTTTTAAAAGAGCATTTGGGTGGGAAACATTAAAAGGTAACTATAATTCTGGGAGACTGACTTCCTCCTGTCAGCCATCATGGGAGAGAGTACCTCTATTTTGCTGTCTTCTCATACACTTATCAAGATTTTCATTTTCTGTTTTAGTGACATAGAGTAAATCTGCCAGTAATTCAGAACACTAAGTCCCGTTATTTTGGAGTTGTAAATGATTTAAATATAATATCTAGTACAGAAGAAATGAATCCTTTCTTATTATTTATTTATACCTGAAAAAAATCTGTATGTCTACTAGAAATAAAAGGTGTCTTTCATTTTCCTGGATAGCAGATGAATACTTTTATAAATTGAGTAATTTTAGGGCCACCTGGGTGGCTCAGTCAGTTGGGTATCCAACTCTTGATTTTGGCTCAGCTCATAATCTCAAGGTCATGGGATCAAGCCCTGTGTGGGGCTCTGTGCTCAGTGCAGTCTGTTGTCCCTCTCCCTCTGCTCCTCTCTTGCTCACGCATGTGAGCATTCTCTCACTTACTTTCTCTTTCAAATAAATAAATAAAATCATTTTTAAAAAATGGAATAATTTTGTCCTTCACAAACATTAGGAAATTATGTGTGATCACAGAATTGAAAGCTACATAGTCTATTTTATGAGGGAAAATTCAATAAACATTTTTTATTTAAATAGAGTTTTTAACAAGATAGGGGAGCAATAGAATAGAAAAAGCTCATATGCTATATCATTATCATGGAATAACCTCGAATTCTGTCCTTAGGAGTAAATGTGATTTATGGAAGGGTCACATTTTCAGTTTTGCTAAAAATTATAATCTTAAAAAAACAAAACTAATTAAGCAAACATTAAAAAAAGGCAAAGAAAATTAGTCCCAGAAACTGAATTGAAAAATACTTGAAGAATTTCTCATGAAATTATTTCAGGCTAAAAAACAATTTTACCTGATGTTTTTGTCTTCTCAGTACTGGCTGAAAAACTGGTAACTTCTAATAAGTTCTCATCATCAAAATCATCCCAAACTTCATCTCCCAATTCAAAGTTCACATTCAAAACTTTTGAGAATGGAGTATTACTTTTGTCCACATCTTTCAAATTCTGGTTTCCAGATGCATTAAGATGTCTGTTGAACAGCACTGTTTGAGGGGCTTTCTCATCTGAAGTTATAGGATAGTTCCATCTAGAGAAATCTGTCATGTGTATGTATAAAAGAGTATAGGTACTTTTAAAATCATTAACATAATTTCCCACTGATACATCAAATACATCTTTCAACTACTAAACTGAAGTTTGAATAGTAGTTTTCAAAAGTATTGAGTCAAGCATTGTTGAATATTGTTTTCAACCAATTCTATTTACTATTACAAATACTGATAGTTGCATTAAATTTAATTTTCAATGGATTCTTTTAGAGAGAATTATATTTTCTCTCTTAATTCCTATAGGAGAATAACCCTACTCTAAAATGAATTTTATAATTTCTAAAATGGTCTTCCTTCCTCCAGCTCTTTTTTCCTACAAGTGAATCTTGAATGTTATTATGAAATATGTTCTTCCAAAATATATCTTAATTTTTCTCCTGCTAAAAAATCTTCAGTGTTATCCATTGTTTATAGACTGGGCTTAGGGCCAGACTAATAGGTGAAAATTCTACTTCTCTCACTTACTAGTTGTATGATCTTAGACAAGTAATTTAAAGTCTCTGAGCCTCGTTTTCTCCTCTATGAAATGGGAATAATAATAGTATCTATTTCATAAAATTGTTAGGGGCAATAAATGCCTTTAGTTTTGCAGTTTTCCATAGCAGTGTGCTAACAAATGTCTAATAACTGCTTCTCCAAAATGTATGCATATATATATATGTATATATATATATACACATACACACACACACACATATTTATTATATTTATTTATTACGGGTAAAGGATATGTAACACACAATTTATAAATAGTAATAAAATATATAGCCCGCTTAATTGTAAATTTCATATATTTGATTTTCACTGAATGTTTTCATTGAGTTTTACCAAACTCTTATATCCGTAGCCAGCTTATGGTTGCAGTTAACAAAAGAATATAGTTCTCACATGAATGCTGCTTGACATTTTTGTTGACTGTAACAACTAAGGTGAAAGCAAAATAACAGAGAAGGATGTTGGGACTTGACTCATTCATTCATTGACTTAGGCAACTCCTTTGCTAAATTAGACAACAGTTTTCAAATACTAGAAGAATATTCCCTCACCCTTTTGTGCTACTCACAATGTCATAGCTATAGACAGAACACACTGTTAAAATTTACTCTGTACTATTAACATTTTTTCTATCACTTTCATAAGTCTAAGCAATAAATCAAGTCCTAATATGCAGTGTTTGCTGATTTCCATGGTATAAATATTCCCATTATGATTAATTTCAAGCTACCAATGTGACATCTCTGAATGCAGTTCAGAAGAAATGCATAGTAACACACTATTAAATAGTATTTCTACCATATAGATATAAATAAAAAGGAAATACTCTCAAGAACACAGTAATATGTTACTACATAATAGAAAGTGATCAATTTTGAATATTTACAGTCTTTGTTTTTAATTATTTAATTGAAAGTTTATACAATTAAACTTTTAATAATGGCTGAAAGATTCCCAAGAATTTAATAATAATCTCTCACAAGCCAGCACAAGCTTGCTCCAGTGCACCACCAAGATTCCTTCATTTTAAATATTCTCAGTACTTTACTTCACCTACCCAAATCTTACTTTATCTTTCAATTGTACCTAAAAGTCCAGTTCATATTATTCCACTTTTGTTCACTGATACACACACAATATATATACTAGAAATAAAAGAGATATAAAGTGTAATGGGAATGCAAAGGGAACAGGACCTAAACCTACAATGGAAGTCAGAGTGGACGCCCCTAAGATGGTAAAATGGTAAGAAGGTAACATTGGAATTTGAGCTTGGTAGAGCTGTGAATATGGAGCAGGGGAAGGGGGAAGGCAAGATACTCCATGAGGGGAGCACAGTATGTGAAAGACATGGCAGTATGGGAGACCAGAGAATGTTTGGAGAACTATATGTATTCAGGATTTCTGGATCACAAAGTAGGAGAAGGGCCCACTTAGCCTGACAGGAAGTTAAATGCCAGATTATGCTGATGCTTATTTTCTATGTTGAAGAATTCACTTTTTCCCCCTTTATAGGCAATGGGTAACTACTGAAGATATTTTAGCAAGAGGTTTATATGATCAGAGATACCTATTAGATTCCCCGGAATAGTTATGAATGGGATGATAATGAGACTGGAAGCAAAGAAAGCTATTGTAATAAATGAGAAACAATGAATGTCTGAGCTAGAGTATCAGCAGAAAGGACAGAGAAGAACAGATATGAGAGATGTTTAGGAGGCAAAACAGATAGGACTTGGCAATTACTTGCATGTAAGTTAAGGTATTTAAGATGAATCTTTTCCTGCCTTTAGCAGCTTGGAAAAGAAGAGGGTTCATTCACTGACCTAAGGAGAAAAGAAAAGGAGCAGTGTGAGGTACAGGGAAGATAGAAAGAGTTCAGATGCAGCTATGTTAACTATTAGGTGGCTATATCCAGAAAGATGACTGTATAGTTGGGTCAAGGCCAGATAGAAAGAAAGAGATGGCAAATGCAGATGTAGAAATCATCTGAATATAGTTAGTAGTTGTAGACATGGACTTGGGTGACATTGTAAAAGAAAAGTTTATGAAGTAGGAAGAATAAAAAAGTAAAAAAGAATCCTTTGCAACATCAACAGGAGAAAAAGCCCAAGCAGTTCAAGAAGTAGTAGTAGAACCAACAGAATAGTTTAATTGAAACCAAAGGAGAGATTTCCAAAAGAAGGGAAATACCAGATGTGTCAAACACAACAAAGGTCAAAGAAAATATAAGTTGAAGAGTTCACTGAATTCAGCACTTAGGAGATCACTAAATGGTCTAAGCAAAAGCAGTTTCAAAGGAGTAGAGAACCCAAATTTAGGTGAATGAAAAAATGACTAGGAGGTAAGGATATAAGCACAGTGAGTATAACTCGCCCTTTGAAGAATTTTTGTTTGATGGGAAAGCAAGACATTAAAGTATATAAAGACTTTGGTGATTCTGTTCTTTGCCTGACATACTTCCCCTTCTTTTAATAGGAGCATCTTTCCTGTCCTTTGGTGAAACTGCCTCCACACATTCCATGTAATCCTGGTGAGGATGTCATTTATGGTACCCTGGTCCCAAGGGCTACAGCAGAGGAATGCATGACCCAATCCCCAGGCTACAGGGTTTGATGGTGGGATGAATACAAGACTCAACGAAGGTCATTTAGAATGAACTCTGCTCTGCCAAACCTAACAGGGAAGGCTGTTTTTCCACTGAGACTGTTCAACTAGGAAGATGTGAGTTAGGGGCTACCTGCCATGTGAAAAAGCCTTTTGAAAAAAATAAAGCCAATTATTAACAGGCATAGCTAAAAAACTGAGAGAAAGCCAGAAGCACGACCAAAATTATTTGAGTGCCTGGATCTAGCAAAATTAAAGCCAGATGCATGTCTGGACTTACAAGTTTACATGAATGGTCTCCTTTTTTTTTGTGATTAAGTCACTTCGAGTAGAATTTCTGTCACTTATAACGAGAATAGTCATGACTAGCTTGATGAGGATAGGGAGCTGAAGAAGGAAGAGACTTGAGCATATTTATATGGTGAAGACAAATAAGGAGGAGAGATTAAAAATTTAGAAAAGAGAGGGATAACTGGTCTCCTAAAGCCCCAAGAGAGGCAGGATTAGAAATATTAAAACTGTAGGTGGAGAGATAAACCTTGAATAGAAGAAAAGAGAAATCTTCTTTAAAAACAAAGTTAAGGATGATACAGAGATAGAAATACACAGTTGCAGGGTAGAAAGTTGAAAGAGTTTATATAGGTTCGATTTTCAATTCTCCATTGACAACTAAAAGTCAATTTCATTTTATAGAAATGGCACTGAACTGGGAATCAAAAGATATAGAATCTATTTCTGTCCCTGCCACTAATTAGATATGTGATTTTGGGCGAGGCATTTAATCTCTCAGAGTCTTGGTTTCTTTCACTATAAAACTGCACAAAGGTCCCTTACAATTTAAATTTTATGATTCAACATACTTTCTCATATAATTTCTGATATTTTCCCTTCTCCTTTCTTGAAACTGGAGTACAGATGATAAAAATTGGCATGTTTTTCTTAAAACATTCTCTAGAGCAATATTTGAATACAAATAAAGTATGTTTTGCCACCAAAAATTAATTGTGAAAAGTATAATGAATATACTCAATTACTACTAATAATGGTACAAATACTATGTTAAGAGCTTTATGTATATTATCTCATTTAATACTAAATCCCTAAAACATAAGCAGATGAGGGAATTGAGATAAAGTGGGTAGTACATTATAAAAAGTGACAAAACTACTCAATGGTAAAATTTGAACCTAGACAGATTATTCTAAGCACTTTTCTTTTAGTAACCTCCCAGCCCAACATGGGTCTCAAACTCATAACCCCAAGATCAAGAGTCACATGCTCTACTAATTGAGCCAGCTAGGCATCCCAAACAGATTATTCTAGATCCTGTGAATTTAACTACTACACTATACAGCTTCTTCTTCTTTAAAAAAAAAAAAAAAAAAATGTGGCCCATTTTTAGTAAAACATGGATACAATTATTATTGGGGGTTAAAGTATCTAGATGAGACTTTAATATCATAATATAATTGGATTTGGAATAGGGGATAGGAAAGAAAGAAAAGTAGGAAAACTGCAAAAACAGCATCAAAGAGGGTGCCTGGGTGGCTCAGTTGGTTAAGGTCTACCTTCAGCTCAGGTCATGATCCCAGGGTCCTGGGATCGAGCCCTGCATTGACCCCTGTATTAAGCTCCCTATTGGGCTCCCTGCTCAGTAGGGAGCCTGCTTCTCTCCTCCCCACTTGTGCTCTCTCTTGCTATCTCTGTTTCTCTCTCTCAAATAAATAAAATCTTAAAAAAAAAAAACAGCT